GCCCAAAGTCATTTTATGAAGCCAGCATTACCCTGATAGCAAAGCCAGAAAAAGATGCTACAAGAAAGAAAAGTACAGGCCAATATTCCCAATGAACATTGATGGAAAATTGTCAATAAAAGACTAGCAAACCAAATTCAGCAGCACATTAAAATATCATCCATCATGATCAAGTTATAGCTAGAACAACCAGACAAATCAATAAGGAAAAAGAAGACTTTTTATAAACCAGTTGACCTAACAGACATATACAGAACACTTAACAGTAGCATATACATTCTTCTAAAGGACACATTGAACAATTTGCAAAATAGACTACATGTTAGGCCACAAAACAAGGCTTAACAAATTTAAGAAGACAGAAACAATACCAAGTATGCTCTCTGACCACAATAAAATGAAATTATAAATCAATAGAAGGGAAACTGGAAAATCCACAAAAAATTCTCAAAACAAAGCTCAGGACCAAATGAATTCACTAGAGAATTCTACCAAACATTTAAAGAAAAATTAACGCTAATCCTCCTCAAGCTCTTTCTAAGAATTACAGAGGCAAGAAAACTTCCGAACTCATTCTGTGAGGTCAGCATTATCCCGATACCTAAGCCAGATAAAGACACTGCAAGGAAAGAAAAATAGAAACCAATATCTTTGGTGAATATTGAAGCAAAAATCATTAGTAAAATACCATCAAAATGGTATTCTTTCATCAAAATGAATTCAACAGCTAATAAAAGGATCATTCACTATTACCAAGTGAGGTTTATACCTAGAATGTAAGAATGGTTCAACACATCAAAAAATCAATGTAATACTACACATTAACAAAATGAAGGACAAAAAAACCCACATGATCATTTCAACTGATGCCAAAAATAGTGTCAAAATTCAGCACTATTTCATGACAAAAACACCCAACAAACTAATAATATAAGGAAAGTATTTCAATATAATAAAAGCCATATATGATCACAGCTAATACCACTCTCAACAGTGAAAGACTGACAGCTTTTTTTCTAAGAACAGGAACAAGTCAACCATGCACACCCTCACCACACTATTCAACATAGTATTAGAGGTCCTAACTATAGCAATCAGAGAAGTCAAAGAAAAAAAGGTATTCAAATTAGAAATAAATAAGTAAAATTATCTCTGTTCACCAATATGATTTTATACATAGAAAATCCTATAGATTCTACCAAAAAAAATTTTTGTTAAAGCTAGGAAACAATTTCAGCAGTTACAGGATATAAAATCAGCACACAAAAATCAGTTGTTCCAATATACTACCATGACCAGTCACAAAAAGGAATCAAGAAAATGTTCCCTTACTATAGCATCAAAAAGGAAGAGATACTTAATAACAGACTTAACCAATGAAGTGAAGTATTTGCACAATGAAAACTAAAGACACTGGTAAAAGAAATCAAAGAATATACAAACAAATGCAAAGATATCTCATGTTTGTGAGTTGGAAGACTTCATAGCATTAAAATACCCAAATTAGCCAAAGCTATCTACAGATTCAATGCAATCCCTATCAAAATCCCAATGGCCTATTTTGAAGAAATAGAAAATACATCCTAAAAGAGGAATGCCAGAATGTCTCACCTCCTAATTTCAAAGCATACTACAAAGCAAAAGTAACCAACACTATATGGTACTGGCATAAAGACATATATGTGGATCAATGGAATAGACTAGAGCACCCAAAAACAAAGCCCTGAGTATATGACCAAATGATTTTTAACATGGGTGCCAAGATACAGAGTGGAAAATGGGTCAATGTCTTTCACAAACGTCACTGGAAAAACTGTATATCTACATGCAAAAGAATGAAGTTGGATCCTTACTTTAAATCATATATAAAAGTTAACTGAAATTAATTACAGATGTAAATATAAGACCTAAAATTATAAAACTCCTAGAAAAAAAGCACAGGAGAAATCTTCAGGACATTGGATTTGACAATGATTTCTTAGATCTCACACCAAAAGCAGAGGCAACAAAAGTAAAAATAAACAAATGGGATTACATTAAACTTAGCTTTTGTGCCTCAAACAAAACAATCAACAGAGTGAAAAGGCAACCTTCAGAATGGGAGAAAGCATTTGCAAACCACATATCTGATAAGAAGTTAGTATCTAGAATATACAAAGAATTCCTATAACTCAACAAAAAACAATTTTAAAATTATTTAATAGTGTAAATATTAATAATAGAAAACAGTATGGCAGTTCCTCATAGATTAACCATAGAATTAACATATGTTTTAACAATCCAGCTTCTGGATATATGCCCAAAAAAAAAAAAAAATCCAAAGCAAGGTCTCAAAGAGATATTTACACATTCATGTTCCCTCCAGCATTATTCACAATAGACTAAATGTAGAAGAAACCCAAATGTCCATGAACAGAGGACTGGGTAAAAAAAAATGTAGTATATACATGCAATGGAATACTACACAGCATTAAAAAGGAAAAATGTCCTGTCACATGCTACGACATGGATGAAACTTGAGGACATTATGCTAAGTATAATAAAGCAGTCAGAGAAGTTCAAATACTGTATGATTCCACTCATATGAATTATCTAAAGTAGTAAAAATCATAGCAACTGAATGTAGAAAGGTGTTCACCAAGGCCTGGGATGGGCAGAGGAAATTAGTGTTTAAAGGGCATAGAGTTTTGGTTTTCAGGATACAAAGGTTCTAGAGAACTATTGAACAACAATGTGAATATACTCAATACTGCCAAACTGTATGTTTAAAAATGGTTAGGATAGTAAATTTAATGGCATATGCTTTTTACCACAATAAAAAAAAGAATAAAGAAAACTAGGATTCAATGCTAGATCTGACTCCAAATTATGTACTTATAACTGTCAAATCTAGTTTACTATGAAACACAATAAACTCTACTTATTCACTTGAAAACAATTAGCGAAATGGGTAATTTCACACTGCTGGACTATTTCAAGAGCACCAGGGGAATTTCCTTAGCAAACTCCTCACTGAACTTCACCAAGGCCACAGTCAATCCTCATACCTGCCACTGGTAACCACACAACAATGGAAATTTTACTTAACTAACTAGCTGATACCTCTTAAGTGTATCCCTAATGCACTTTTAAATATTAATGAAGAATATTTTCTCTGTGAGGAAACTGCCTAAAAAGTAATCCTGTAAAAAGAAAAGAAAGAAAGCCCACAGTTTTTAAGATAGCTGTATCAATAAAAGACTACCAGATTAGTTAAAAAGATTTGAGATTAAGATAAACCCAAAAAGGTCTCTGGGCTCCCAACCAAATAATGGTTATTGGTTTAAGCCACTAAATTTTGGAGTGATTTTCTATGCAGTAATAGATAACTTATGCTTATCTTGAAGTCTACTTTGTCTGATATTAATCTAGTTAAAACAAGTTTTTAGAATTTTCATTTTTATTATATATTTTTGAAGTCTTTTACTTTCATTTTGTACCATATTTTAGATATGTCAGTTTTAGATAGAAAATGTGCATTCAGGTGTCTTGCATGATAATATTTGTCTTTCTTTTAATTAATCTTTACCTTTGGTTTTTAATTACAGTACTTAGTCCCTCTACACCTAATATAATTACTTATATATTTGAGTTGAAATTTATCTTAATCTTAGCTTTTATATTTGTCCCACATTTATGAAACAAATGTTTAAGATATAATGGTTTTCTTTCCTTTTATTCACTTCTTTGTGTTGATTATGCTTAAAATTCTGTTTTCCTACTTTTAATTGCTTTGTAATCTTGTAGGAATAGGATTTTGGAATATGTATTAGCTTTGTACTAGATCATCCTAGTTATGCTAAAAAAAACAAAAAACAAACAAACAAACAAACCCTCCACTCTTTATTGAGCCAATGCACTTCAATATTTGTAACCTCTGCCAATACTTAGCTCAGCTCTCCTGCCTCATATCCACCTCTTCTGGAATCAACAGACTCCCTTACGGAACAAAATATTTTTATAACTTAAAATTTTAATATTCGAACGCTTTCTGGATCTAAATCTATTATTTTGTTTTGTTTTGCTAACCCTTATTTATGATGGCTCATTTTCTTACGAATTTTGAGCTCATATATGGCTGATCTGTGGGAATCCTGTTTGAAGTTGCATTCCCACAGAGAAAAATACTATTTGATTCCAGCAGGTAGCCTCAGATCTTACCAACCTGGAAAAAAATGTAACCTCATAGTTTAGAATCTCCTAACCACCTAAGTTGTGTAAATTAAAAACCTAAACTCAAAGATCAGAAGCATAATCCTCAATATGAAAATTTGTTCATTTGTTTTTTCCATCATTTCATTTACCTAAAATTGAGAATACCACAAATAAGTTGTTTTCTCCCTTTGCTTGGAAGAAGTAGCATATTTGTTTTGTAGACTATCCTTTCTATTAGGCTGAAGCAGTTAAGTACTATTGGATGTGAGGGTTGAGGGTTTCACCAAGGATGTAGTTCTTTTGAAAAAGAAAAGAAAAATAGACTGACAAGCTTTAAAAAAAAATGAAAAATGGGGTGCCTGCGTGGCTCAGTTGGTTGAGTGTCTGACTTCCGCTCAAGTCGTAATCTCACAGTTCATAAATTCTAGCCCCACTTTGGACTCTGTGCTGACAGCTCCGAGCCTGGAGCCTGGAGCCTGCTTTGGATTCTGTGTCTCCCTCTCTCTGCCCCTTCCCCGCTCATGCTCGGTCTCTCTCTGTCTCTCAAAGATGAATAAACGTTAAAAAAAAAAAGAAAAAGAAAAAGAAAAATGTATTACTTTACAAAAGTAATTAGAGATCCTATTTATAAAATAAATGAATTAACAAACGTGGTTTATGCACAATTTTTAAGAAGTTATTAACTGCAAAAGCAAAAACAAACATTTATCAATAAGTGGTTTTAAAATTTTTATTATGTCATTGAAATCAAGTTAAAGACAAAGGTTATATCATTTAAAAATAACAGTACATAAAAAATGACCTACCAGATTTTTATCCACAACAATATATATGTCAAGATATTGAGGGTATAACTTGAAAAATTCAGTTCTCTGTAAAACACACAACATGAGTGCTGAGGAATTTCCAAAAATTTACCTTCTGTTGATAAACTGAGAGACTGATTATATAACAAAGCCATTCTCAAATACAAAAGTTAGGTACTATTCAGAAAATTCCAGGTCCAAAAAGTGCCTTTGGTTAATAAGAATTTTCAACGAGATCCCACGCTATACAAGAATCCAGGTATCTTTTGATTTTAGCAATAGCTGAAATTGGAAATCTTAAGTTTACAACATAAATCTTTTCTTTCTTGCCTTGTGATAATGTTCATAATAGTCTTCCAGATAGGCAGATTTTCTGTTACCAATTATTAGGAAACTACTTTTGGCAAACAATAAAGTTTAGAAAAACATTACTAAAGGTTATAATCAATGGCAGTTCACTAGAGCCAGGACTGTTATTTATGACGGTATAGCAGTTTACAGGCCTTTGTGGAAGAACTCATCACTTTGCTTTACATGTACCTTATGTAGGCCACAATAGTATTCATTCATGAACTCTCATGAAACAAAGACTTAACTTAGAAATCCAGATCATGTAATATTTTAACCTAATTTGTCAGCCTAATTGAGAAAAAGGAACCATTTACATTAATCATCCAAATGTCTACATGTGAAATTAATTTTTTTTGGTGTCTTAACTCCTATGTTCACATTTGTTTCCCAGATTAATTACCTAAGTTTTCATTATGCTTTGATCTACTAACAAGCTGAACAAAGAACTTTACCCATTTTAAAAGTCATGGAGGGACTTCATGAAAAAGTAAAATAATCTTAAGATCTGTAAGTCATTAAATTTTGCTCTGAGAGTATTTTTCATTTCACAAAGTTTAACAAATAAGTTAAAATTAAAAAGTCAACACTTACTTCTGAACTCCTTCTGATGTGATAATATAAGTTATTATAGCTATAAGTCTTATTTTCTCCTAAAAGAGGAATATTAGTGTTATCATTTTTTTCTTCATAAATCATGTGCACGAATCCTGATACGGCCTCCATTGGTTCAATTCCATATGAGATGTTTTTAAGCTGCAATGTTCCCCTGAGTATTAAAATCATCAAAACAAAGTCTGAAATTATTCTAACAAAACTATAATATTCTAACGTGGAATTTTAGCCAAATACATTTTTTTTTACATTTAAAGTCACCTTGGTTTCTCCACTTTACCTCTTTATGCATTGAAGTGTTAAACTCAGAACTAGGCCAGTAATACCACAGGATGCCTATTGCTTTATATGACAAATATTCTAAGAGAAATATCCTGATCATCTAAAGAAAGCATATTAGTGGCATAGATCCATGTGATTGAACAGATTAGGATTCCTTCCTAGGGTATAGATTTTCTAAGCCAACCTGTCAGATCTTCAGGCACTCTCTTCCTTAGTTTTAAGTCCTTTCTTCTTTTTGAGACATCTAATCTTTCCTGACACTTAATGCCATAAGTCATCTTTTTGTGGGGGGCTTAACTGAAGGTATTACCTGCCTAAAAATGGCTAGAAGTAGAGCCAAAATATCTATCAGATCTAAGCATTCTACAATTGTGAACCATTCTAGGAGATTAATAAATCAGTAAAAACATTAAAAATCTGGAAAAACTAAAGAAGTATGGGGAGACCAACCAACCCTCCCTACACTCAAGACTGCTCAAAGCCTCAAGCAGTCAGAATCAACAAGTAGCCCTCCATCAGGGACAAATGTTTCCAAGGTGACCAATTCTATTTTATCAGTAATTCTGGTTCATTCCTTAGGGAACTGAAATAACAAAGGTGAATATAAAACTAGAAAAGATAAATAGAGAATCAACTCATAGACTAGCAGGATCTAATACCAGCAAATAGAATATCTTAAAAGGCTACAACCTGAGTCCTGAACAAGTGTTGAGTGACACAAGAGAATTTGGAAAACCTGCAACATATCCTTGATAATTGCAATCCATCTGAAAAGAATATACAAGAACAAACAGATAACTTATTTTTAAAATGGATATCCTAGATGTGTCATTTATTTCTATTACTTTATCAATATTGGAACTTCAAACTGAATGGACAATTACCCAATAAACTTGTGCCACGTAGAAATAAGACGTAGTCCAGATTATTAAACGTCAGTGAATGTATACATTTCAGGATATTTACATTTTTTACTTTTTTAAAATGTTTACTTATTGAGAGACAGAGAGAGAGAGAGGAAGAGGAAGACAGAGAGCAGGGAAGGGTGGAAGGGGAGGGTATAGAGAGAGAAGGAGAGAAAGAATCTCAAGTGGGCTCCATGCCATCAGCGCAGAGCTCAACACAGGGCTTGAACCCACAAACCACAAGCTTACAACCTGGACTGAGATCACGACCTGGGCCAAAATCAAGAGTCAGACACTTAGGGTGCCTGGATAGGTCAGTCAGCTAAGCATCCGACGGGCTCAAGTCATGATCTCACAGTTCGTGAGTTCAAGTCCCACATCAGGCTTTCTGCTGTCAGCACGGGGCCCTCTTTGGATCCTCTGTTCCCCTCTCTGTCTCTCTCTCTGTCTCTCTGTCTCTGTCTCTCTCTCTCTCTCTCTCAAAAATAAACATTAAAAAAAATAATAATAATAATAAAAATAAACATTAAAAAAAATGGAGACGTACACTTAACCAACTGGGCCACCCCGGGTGCCACTGAAATTAACATTTTATTATTATTTTTTTTTATTTTTTTTTCAACGTTTATTTATTTTTGGGACAGAGAGAGACAGAGCATGAACGGGGGAGGGGCAGAGAGAGAGGGAGACACAGAATTGGAAACAGGCTCCAGGCTCTGAGCCATCAGCCCAGAGCCTGACGCGGGGCTCGAACTCACGGACCGCGAGATCGTGACCTGGCTGAAGTCGGACGCTTAACCGACTGCGCCACCCAGGCGCCCCTGAAATTAACATTTTAAAAAATAATCTAGAGAAAGAAATCTGTAAGAAAAGCTGTTTTACCTGAGCTGACAAAGGCTTAGAATATTGGATGTCATCTTTGTCATAAAAGTAAACAACAGAAACCGAAGATAAAAATGATCTAGAATAAAATCACAAAACATGTTCAATCTGTCAAACAGAAAACATGAAACATAAAAAATTATTCTTCATAATACAAATTTTCTTTTTACTGATCAATTATAGCGCCAGTTACCTTTGCATATCCTCTTGTCCAAATACTTCTCTGTTGTTTACAATAAATCAAGTGCTGAGGGAAGCATTTTAACTCTGGTGACATATAACACTAAAATGCATCCTAATGAACAATCCAAACAGCTAGAGATAGCAAACAGTGTAAATAACATAGGTCCCAATTTCCGGCATAGAACTTTAAATTTTTTTTAACACTTATTTATTTTTGAGAGACAGAACACAAGTGGAGGAGAGGAAGAGAGGGAGACACAAAATCTAAAGCAGGCTCCAGGCTCTGAGCTGCCAGCACAGAGCCCAATGTTGGGCTCAAACCCATGAATCGCGACTGCGAGATCATGACCTGAACTGAAATCAGACGCTTAACCAAGTGAGCCACTTAGGGGCCCCTCCAGCATAGAACTTTAAAATCTTTGTCTTTATTACTCACTGATTCCAGATTTTAAACCTGAATCTTAAAATTAAAAACTAGGTTTAGGACAGAATTTAAAAAATATTTTCTTAGCATTACTACAAATTCATATTCACTAAGCTTAGCTAAGTACCAAGTTCTCAATAACCTTTGTCAGAATTTTCCTTCATTATCCTCAGTAACAATTCAGAAACTTGACCCCACTCCTGCCAATCATCTCACATAATCTCCACATCATTTCAGTTTCAGATCACCTATATCTACCCTCATTCCTCATCTTTTTTTTCCAGAGGATGACTACTACTTTTGTTCAAGGCACACTCTTACACTTGTGCTATGAATCCCATTCTATGCCATATATTGAAGATACATACTTTTTCAATCCTATAATTTCAAACTATTCCCCTCTACTATTTTTTTAACTTAATGCTATTAAAAAGTTCATGGGGCCCTGGGTGGCGCAGTCGGTTAAGCGTCCGACTTCAGCCAGGTCACGATCTCGCGGTCCGGGAGTTCGAGCCCCGCGTCGGGCTCTGGGCTGATGGCTCAGAGCCTGGAGCCTGTTTCCGATTCTGTGTCTCCCTCTCTCTCTGCCCCTCCCCCGTTCATGCTCTGTCTCTCTCTGTCCCAAAAATAAATGAACGTTGGAAAAAAAAAAATTAAAAAAAAAAAAAAGTTCATTATCAAAGTATTATCTTCATAAATAATTCTCCCATGACCTGTGTCCTACTTTAACTATTCTTTATACATTTTCAATTCTCCAAAGATACTCTCATAAGAGAGTATCTCATAAGAGTCTACAAATAATTTCTCCACTTTGTCCATTCTTAGTCACCCTGAAACGGCTCTGGAAAAGATTCATAGCTGCCAGAATGTCAGATCCAAAAGGTAATTTTAAAATCAACATTGCCCTGCTCTCTAGCATCATTCTGAAAACTGTGACCACTCAATATAATCACTTAATTTACATCACACATTACTCTTCTGCTTCCCTTCCTACCTCCCTGACACTTCCAGCTTGATCTTCCATGTTGGCTGCTCTTTTTTGTTCTACCTATCTCAGAAATATTGATCTTCACCAAGATTTAGTCTTTAGTCACTAGGCTATTCATAAGCACTCTATAAATTCTCATTTTTTATTTTATAGCCAAACTATTGGTTACTGCTAAACCTATATCCTCATTGCCAATCTCTTCTCATATATTCAAATTCTTATATTCATATTCCTAGTGGAGAAAATCCACTTGGATATCTTGTAGGCCTTCCAAATCAAACTCACCCCCTTCCCCCATATATATATCTCACTTATTCCTCACTTAATTAACTATAACCTACCCATTTTCTCAAGCAACAACTAAATTATCCAAGATACTTCACTTTTTCCCAATCACTCTAACAAATCCATCTTCAAGGTCTATTGAATTTTTCTTTCCAGTGCTATAAACAATACCATTGTTTAAGCCACCATCATCATTCACCTAAATTATTACATAACCACAAATTACACACCTTACCTCTACTTCTGCTTTCTCAAAAACAGCCTAAACTCTCACTGGGACTATAACGTACTTGCTTAAAAACATTTTTGGCTTCTAATATCCTTAGCATGGCTTTATAGATCTTCTACAACCTGACTCCTGCCTACCTTTCCAAAATGTTTTACTTCTATCCTCCAGAAATATGTCCTTTAGTAATCCAGGTGGACTTTCTACACACCACTGAATCCACTCTGTCTCATACCTCCATGTTTTGCACATGATTTCCTCTAAACAGAATGTCCTCCTATACTACCTCATTTCTTTACAGAACTCACAAGGTATCTTCCTTCAAAAGATAAGTCATCTTTTACCTCCTTCCAAAAACCTTCATTCATTTCCAAAGAACACTATTTACACATTTATTACAATACTATGTTATAGCAAAATTCTCCCTTTCTCCATTATTTCATCTGAATATATATAAATTCTTTAATTGCAGATCATGTTTTATTATCTTTAGTATGCCTATGATTTTACCCAATAATCAATATGCAGTAAGTATCACATATATATAGGTATTAAATATACCTATACTGAATTGAAATTATTTTATGCATACCTATTTTTAAAAATCAAGAAACCAGAGAATTAAAATTTGAAAGGATAAAATTTTTACTTACTGCTTTCTGAGATGGACAAAATACGGTTTTCCTTTTATTGTAATGATATAAGCAATCTGTAACATGAGTATCCAAAAAAAATCAGTGAAAATACTTGTAAATAACATATGCTAAATAATTTCTTTTCTGAGTTATGCTTTAAAAATATTGAAAAAATTAATAATAAGATATAACCATTACATATGTTCCCCTTCCCATGTGACTATTTGAAGCCTCGGAATTCTAAATGGAGAACTAGGTAGTAGTCGCTGTCTATTATTCACCCTAACTAACATTTCTGATGGAGAATCTTGCCTAATGACTATTACCTTTTGGATTAGACACATACCACCCTTCACCATGCCCAAGGCAAATGCCAAAGACGCCCACCTCACTTGAAAGAATCCGTTGCTTGTTTACTCCCAGACCTCCTAAAAAGTATATTGTTGTGCTCAATGGAATAAATACTCCAAAAGATAGCACTACAGGAAATGCACTACACCTCCAGCAGTATAACATAATAAGTACCACTGCACTTTGCTTTCCACACATAAGCAACAAAACTCCTCTGGAATAGAATGTGAGAGAGGATAGAGGGGAAGCAGAGACATGTCTAGAAAACCCTCCAGAAGATAACAGAAAATATAAGAGTCATTAAGTCATTTATTCAGCTACTTTTTAAAGATAATTTTAACAAGAGAAATAGCCTCTTAAAAGTTTTCAGTGCCTTAACTTTGTATTCTAGCAGAACAAGATTCTTTGTAACAGATAAATGTTCTGAAAGAGTCATCTTAATGGCACTCTAGAAATAAGTATAAGTGGAATCTTGTGAGGATCTTGAGAATTGTGCCCTCCAAAAATACCTTGTTACTAAACAAATATAATCAAAAATAAATGGAATAAGGCAGCATCAATAAATTTTTAAATCCACACAGCTTACAAAACAAAACAAGTAGAATTTAAATAATAGGAAATGTACAAAACTGACAGGAAGAGAAAAAAAATCCAAAAAGACATTATCTAGAGCTTCTAAAACTTTTCATACGCAATATCCAAATGGTTGGGTTGAATTGTGTCTCCTTCCTTCCAACATTATATGTGAATTCATTATCCCAGGACCTCAAAACATGACCTTATTTGGAGATAGGGTCCTTACAGAAGTAATAAAGTTAGGTCATTAAGGTAGGCATTAACCAATCTGACTGATACCTTTATACAAAGGAGAAATTTAGGGGCACCTAGGTGGCTCGGTTGGTTGAGCATCTGACTGATTTTGGCTTAGGTCATGACCCCAGGGTTATAGGATCAAGCCCCACATAGGGCTCCTCTGCACTGACCGGGGAGCTTGCTTAAGATTCTCATTCTCTCTCTCTCTCTCTCTCTCTCTCTCTCTCTCTCTCTCTCTCCCTCTCCCACTTGTGTGCAGGTGCATGCTTTCTCTCTCTCTAAAATAAATAAATAAACAAACAAAAACACAAAGGGGAAGTTTAGACACAGACATACACAAAGGGGAATGCCTATGAAAATTCAGAAAAAGATTCCATCTATAAGCCAAGAAGAGAGACCTGGAGCAGATTATCCCTAAAAGTCTTCAGAAAGAATCAACCCTGCTAACAACTTGATCTTGGACTTCTAGTCTCCTTTGTTGAACTGTGAAACAATACATTGTTGTTGTATAAGGGACATGGTTTGTGTTACCTTGTTATGCAAGCCCTAGCAAACTATTACACCAACTTTCAATAAAAAATTGTATGAAATGCAAAAGAACAGGATCAAATTACCAAAATCAGCAAAAAAGAAAACAAATAATTATAACAAAGCTACAGGTAGTATGTATAATGACCATGACTAAAATGAGAAAAATATGGAGATTTTCAGAAGAGTAAAATATCTAATAAACAAACTGAAATTCTAGAGCAGAAAGAAATGTAATACCTTCTATTAAAAAGTCAATAAAAGGGGTTTGAGAGAATATCAGACAGAGCAGAAGACAGGATTGGTGAACAGGAATATAATAGGTCAGTGGAAAATATTCAGATTGACAAATTGAAATTAATACCAAAACAAAAATAAGAGAAGTGTGACCCATTAAAAATGTCTAACATTCATGTAATTTTGAAAACAGGAGAAAGATATAGAGACTATGAAAGAAATATTAATTAAATATCAATAATTTATGCCTGGGGCACCTGGGTGGCTCAGCTGGCTAAGCATCCAACTCTTGATTTTGGCTCAAGTAGTGATCCCAGAGTCGTGAGATTGAGTCCTGCATCGGACTCAATGCTGGGCATGGAGCTTGCTTAAGATTCTCTCTCCCTCTCCCTTTGCTCCACCCCTACTGGCTCCTGCACTCATGCTCTATAAATAAATAAATAAATAAATTCCATTTAAAAAAAGAAATAATATCTGAGATTTTCCAAAGCTTATGAAAGATGTCCACTCACACTCTCAAATACTCTATTAATCCAAAATAGAATGAATACAAAGAAAACAAACTAGGCATATCACACTCTAACAGCTAAAACAAAAAGAAAAAAAAACATATATTTAAACAGCAACAAGAACGAAAGGGTGCATTACTCTCAAAAGGCTTTTAAATAAAGTATGCATACTCCCACAGAAACAATGGATACCAGAAGACAATGGAATGGTGTCTTTAAAGTGAAGAAAGAAAATGATATCCAACCAAAAGTTTATATCCAGCAAAAATATCCAGCAGATACACAGCGAAATAAACACATTTCCTCACAAGAGGAAATGACATAATTCACTGACAGCAAACCTACACTAAAAGAAACACTAAAAATAGTGTGTTTCTTTTTTAATGGGAAGTAAGTTGCTCCAAGATAGAATGATGAAAATGTATGACAATGAAAACCACAGGAAAAATAAGTATGTCAGTACATTTAAGTGAATATCATTTGTTTTAAACAGTGATAGTAAATGCTATTCTCATTAAAAAAAAAACATAGTTGTAAGATATATGACAATGGCATAAATGACAAAAAGAACATAAATGGAGTAAAGTGTCAAGGTCCTTGAGCTTTTCAGGGAGTGGCAAAAATACAAATTTAATGTAGCAGGTAAAAAATTAAAGACACATGTTATAATCACAAGGTTAACCATTAAAAGAATAAAAAAGAATACATCACTAATAGCTTAAAAATACAAATTAGAATAATAATCACATCATGGATTATAAAAACAGAGGAAAGGGAAAATTAAGAAAGACCAAATGAATTTTAAAAATAATAATTACACTTTTATATAAAAGAGAAGCATTTTAAATACAAAACACTGAAAATAAAAGGATTAAAAGTTATACCATGCAAACAATACCCAAAAGAAAGATAACTATACTAATAGCAAGCAATATATAATGTAATTCCAAATGAATTATAAGAAATAAAGGGGGACACTTTATAATGATAAAAGCATCAATTTAAAAAAAGTTACAGTCTTAAACATTTTATGTACTTAATATTATATCTCCAAAATATATAAAATAGAAATTGATGGAACTAAAATAAATTATATACAATTCAAAAGCATATGTGGAGATTTTATAATTCTATCAGTTATAGAAAGGACCCAAGAGAACTACCAGTAAAGCCATAAAGATTTGGACAGCACAATCAACTAAATTTATCTGACATATATACAATACTACATCCAATCACTGAAAAAGAAATATTCAAATGCACATATAACATCTTTCAAAATAGGTCATATGAAGAATAATAAAACAAATCTCATCAAATTGTGATAATCTAGCTTGTATTCATCGACAACCAACAATTAGAAAATTAACATAAAGAAACACCATTTGTCACAGTATTAAAATATGTTGAAAAACACTGAGAATAAATTTAAGAAAAGGTTTTCAAGACATCAAAAATAAAAACTTCTAAGCCTTACCAAAAGAAAAACTAAAATATATGGAAAGATACACCATGTACATGAATTGGAAGACTCAATATTGTTTAATTTCCCCTAATTTGATCTATAGATTCAATGAAAACTCAATAAAGTCATAGCAGGTCATTTGTGGATATAAACAAATTGAGCTTAGAATTGTCAAGACAAGAATATGAAAAAAATAAAGTTAGGAGTGCCCACACCAATTTATATTAACTTATAAAGCTACAGTAATTAGGGTAGTGAAATATGGGCCAGAGTTTTAAAAAACAGTCCAATGGCACAGAATAGAGAATCCAGAGAGAGCCATAAATATATACTTATCTGACCTTCAGTAAAAACTGAAGGTGGCCATGGGGCGCCTGGGTGGCGCAGTCGGTTAAGCGTCCGACTTCAGCCAGGTCATGATCTCGCGGTCCGTGAGTTCGAGCCCCGCGTCAGGCTCTGGGCTGATGGCTCAGAGCCTGGAGCCTGTTTCCAATTCTGTGTCTCCCTCTCTCTCTGCCCCTCCCCC